CAGACCGACGACGTGGATCTGATCCGTGATGCCTTAGGCGTTCTACTCTCTGCCGCTGATGCCGCTCAGGCAATTCGGGACGCAGGTCACCATCACGAACGGCATCAGCTTCAATGTGGCTGGGGCTGTGACGCGACTGACGAATGCGATTTTTTCGAACTGTAGTCTGATTTAACCATCGACTAGTATGACCACTGGTCTGACTCCGCCGCTCGGGCGACGTTGAGGCTCCACGTCGCCGAGGCGTATCACGGGCTGCAGGTTGTCGATGACGTCTTCGGTATGTTTCTGCAGAAAAGGAATGTGGAGAGTGTGTCCAATGCCTGTCCCCCTCACGACGGCCGTAAAAAATGCGATGACTCCGATGCATAAAGGGGCGAGATTTGGATCGAGATCGAGATCGCGTAGATCGATTTTTTGGAAAGCGAGAGGACCGATCACTTCGACAGCGATCTCCAGATAATTTATCCTCATTATTCGTGCCAACCGACAAGGCTGGTAGAACTACCGAACGAAATCCGCCTGTTTCATCCTCTTCCGACGATTCGGATGCACTTGTCAGGCTGGCGATATCTGAGGGATGGCTGGCTGGGCTTCTTGATGACAAAGATGAAGGTGATTGAGAAAGTCCAGGTGACAGCGATGCAAAATGATTAAGCACAGAAGTTTTGTCCTTAGAGTTTGCCGAATCTATGTCCTTATCATTGTTGAGCATTGCGAAAGACTTGCATGCATGGATAGACCCTCCACCCTCCACCCACTTTGTTGTGTGAACTCTCAGGGACCCTGATGACTTTGATTTATTCTTTGCGACTTTAGCTTCCTGATTATCATCTTCTTCCTCAATTTCCTCTTCAGATTCCAATTCGTTTTCATCGTCAACAATCTCGCCTTCTTCAGCCTCGCGTCCAGCATTTGCCAATACAAAATTACTATCTAATCGCAGCATATCTTCGCTAGATGGGTCCGGTTTCAGCGATATCGAAGATTGGAGCAAAAGAGCATGCTTCAGCCCTTCGTTCATTTCTTCCTTTACCTGGCACTTGCCTCCTACTACATTTACGATATCCTGGAGTTTTTCCCCCTGAGCCTGTTCTTCTTCGTCTTTACAGAAAGAATCTTCAATGTCCATATCACTGATCATCGAGAGATCACCTACAAGCAAACCGAGCGCCTGATGACGACAAGATTCGGAGTTATCTGACAAATCAGCGTAATTTGAAGCAGAACCTGTTGGCAGTTTTACTGGTGTTCCAGTCACGGCTGGTGAGCTGGAAAAGTCCGAAGGACATAGCTCAGGGCAGGGGTCGAATTCAAAAGGGGCATCGACGAAAGAATAGCTAACAGGCTCTAGCTTGATTGAGGATGAGAGATTATCAAAATGATCCTTCTCGTCCTCTTCCAATTCGTATTTTGTGTCCTTTTTTGCCATAATAGTATCCTCCTCTATCTTGTTAAAATCACTCATATCCTCGGTTGTGTCAGCTTCACATTGAATTCTTGTGGAGAAGAGAGCACAAGGACTAGCAAACAGAGGGATTACTTTGGGCTGAACGCATTCCAGATTCGAAGCTCCACTTGAAGAGAAGTCCCACTTCATACAATCCTCAGGAGAGGCAGGCGCCTTAATCTCTTCACTATCCACATCCCCATCTGTTAGGCTGCTTGGAGGTATGTACGGCTTAGAGTCGGGCGACTCTGCGCTATCCGGAATCTGATCTGCAGAAGTGCTCAAAATTGTTGTTGGTGAAGAAGACAGATTGAGGCCAGTGGGAGGAGCAGTTGCAGTTTGAGAACTCATAAATGATGAGGTAAGGATTCGATGATCAACATCATGGGCTGTAGACGTTACGGCTTCCTTAACAGAAATCATGCCTCTGGCGACGAGGCGTGGATCAAGACGACGCCGGCGTGCAGTAACGGCATCGACCGAAATAGTGGAAGTAGCATCGGTGCTGCTAGGGAGCCGAGTGATACCTACGGATGAAACAGGTGGATGGCGTTCATCAATATCATAGACACCTAGTTGAATTTCGAAATCTTTAGCCCTAGCTATATCATCGGTAATTGCTTCTGGAATTGTAGGGGAAGGAAGATGGGGCGTAGATACAAGTTTGGCTGAAGAGCGACAATGCTGGTTGGGGAGGATGGTAGGACCTGTAGATGATGCGACAGCGGCATGAGGAGAATGAGAAGGAATTATAGGAAGGGGTGGAGGGATGGGAGGGAGATGGGGGTTAGGAGTAGGA